CTTGCGCATCTAAAAATAACAGCTTGCGCATCTAAAAATAACAGCTTGCGCATCTAAAAATAACAGCTTGCGCATCTAAAAATAACAGCTTGCGCATCTAAAAATAACAGCTTGCACATCTTGCGCAAGTGAAAAATTAACAAATTTTTCGATTATAGTGGAGATCTAAGTTTATTTGAGGCAGTTATCGGTTAACTGTTTTATTTTAAAACGATTAAACCCATGTAAATGGAGTTGAACCCGCTCATAAGCAGGAGTAAAATTAATATATTATTAATCATATTAATATTTTGTAGAGAACGAGAACCCTGTTGCTTTAAAACCTGAGCGCTCTATTACTTAATGCAGAATAATTGCCTGGCATGTATTGCCAGCTATTAACTAGGAAGCATAATTATGTCAATTTGAAAGAAACAAACATTTTTGAAAAAAAAAACATTGTATTTCAAAAAATACCCGAAAAAATTCTATGATTGCTATGTATGCCTAATAATAATAAATACATGTGGGGTTGGATCATTTTTCTTCGCAACCAGACTTTTTAATGTAGGGTAAATTCGAAGTGAAAAATTCTCCCAAAAATAAAAATATACTCATTATATGGCTTCAAAATGCCGTTTATGTATCACGATTGTCAGAATATTGACACAACGATCAGTTATATTGACACTCGTCAGAAAAACTGATATTGAAAAATGCTAATTAAAAATAAATAACTTTTTAATTCAACTGAAAATTCACCCAAAAATAGAAATTGATTCATTTAAAGCGGCAAGAATGCTTTTAAAATGTCACTAGTGTCAGTAACGGAAGCGTGTTGGCCAATAAAAAACTTTCTTATTTACGGACGGATCGTTTTAAAACTTCGTGCTCATTTGTTAAATAAAAATCTGAGACTTAATTCTTCGTGTAATATTCTATCTCCTCATTCATTTAACGTGCTACAAAATCGAGAGACATATCATTCCATTAGTTAAGTCACTTGTAAAGTCGTAAATTTAGCGTACATCCGGTCACTTTTTCTAAATTCACATTTTTTGGGTGGCGCGATATTTTTATATTTTTTCAATTTTTGAACCTCCTTCCCTCCGTTTCTTCAATATTTAATCCAAACTACAAAGAAATCAATAAAGTGGCTGGATGATAGCTAGAAATTTTTATTACGAATCGAATAGTAAATCTCTCAATGCTGTAGGTTGAAATCATAGGAGGAGATGAGAATTCGAACTTTTAAGAGGAAAATTCGAACTTTTCAAGGAGAACCAAAAAACTTAATTTGTGAACATTAAAGTTATGGGTTTTACTTGCGCTTCGATGGATGTCGTGAACGAACAAATGAACGCGCAAACACGACTTTGGGCTCTTTAGATGCGCAATTTCCGGATTTTTAAAAACGGTTAATTCAAAATTTTCGATTTTTGGCCACGACGCTCCCCTTAAAACGGCAAAATGCTTCTAGAATGTCGCGTGTCGGTTCAACCGATTCAAAAATTGCATTAGAAATAAAAACTTTTTACTTCATCTTGAAAATACTCTCAAACCTAGAAATTTATTCACTTTGATACTGCTAAAATGCAGTTCAAATTTCACGACTGGCAGTTCAGCCTTTTCTTAAACAAAATTAGTATTAATAACTTTTTATATTCAACATTAAAATTCTCCCAAGCCTAGAAATTTATTCACTTTTTGAATAGAAGCAGTAAACTTTTTCAATTTAAATTTAAAATTCTTCCAAACCCTGAAATTTTTTTACTTTCAATCGGCAAAAAGTCTTATAATTTCACGAGTATCAGTTTAGCTGTTTCTTAAATAGAATTAGTATTCATAACTTTTTCAATTCAACTCGATAGTTCTCCCAAACCTAGAAATTATTTCACCCTGTGGGTTATTTATCAATAAAGAGGGTGGTGTTGCATCCATGATATTATCTTGGAACTTTTGAACCGTTGGTATCGTTAGTGAATAAATAATAATGTCTGGTGGAAAAGTGAGTTGATTGATTAGACAAGTGAGAAGGTTGATCAGGTCGAATATCAGCATTTTGCTCCGGATGTTGAGGGCGTGTCACTGAAAGAACGTGTTAAAGGTGTTTACATTGTATTGTTCGTGGAGTGATTAAAAGGGAATGAAGTCTGACCAGTGAGCATTGGTTAAAACTCCAAGTGATCGGGTTTGTACTTTTTTCGGGTGTTCAATGGTAGGATAAATTAGTGGTGAATGGTAGGGTGGTGATTTAAAATACCCTTTTCAATTTGTATTTTGGGTGAGGATGAAGGATGACGAATCTGCAGGTGTTTCGTAGGATTGCTAGGACTATGTTCTGACGTGATGTGACAGTTTTATGCCTTGGAAGTTGTGCGTGATGATTGAGACAGATGTGTCTTGAACTAATTTCTGGCACGGTAAATTTCCACAAGTACTGTGTTAGAGATTCAGAAGACTGAATGACGTGGGAGTGAATTTTGTTCAGTTTCTAGTCAGCTGGAAAGATATGCAACAAATTAGTTGGAACCTAAGCACAGAAAAACTATTTCACTAATTCCTAGTAAGACGCATTTTTACGATTGGGAGGCTGTAAACTCGGTAAACTAAGAGAGTTCAGAGTAGCGAAATGCATGGAAATTTTTCACGTCCAACGTTTCTGGTTCCCATTCCTGAACGGTGCTTCCCATGACTTGCATAATTATTCTCTTTAATTCACAGCATGATTAAAAACCTTGCGATAGTTGCGTAGCATTATTACGACGTCAACCACGCGAAAAAAACATATCTAAATGAAGAGAATTTTCACAGTTTATTTAATACATATGATACCTTCACCAACTTTTATGGCTTATCTTCAACAGCCATTATCTCTTATTTTAGTATTTCGGTAGGTATTTCTTCAGCGATAATTCTTGTTATCGAACTCCTTTCTCTTCCTTGGCACCCGTGCCCTCGCTGCTAATGATAAAATTGGCTGAGTTCAGAGAGAGCAGCTAAAGTCGCACAGAGCATATTTTGGATTACTCCAGTGGATGTAAAAACAATTCATATTCTGCTCCAAAACGACCATTTTTCATATTTACAGTTGAAATGGGATCAAAATACAACTTTTAAAGAAGTATTTCCATCTTTCGATTAAATGATACGCAGTTCTGTCCGAGAGATGGTTGTGTAAACAAGTCCTCAAGTGTTTACCAGCAGACCTATTTAGCTATAGAGTTCACGGTGTCACTGAGACCTTGCCATACAGCACATGTGTCACGAGGACAATAATCCGGTGGGCGGAAGCGAAGCCTATATAAGGGCTAGCAACCTTTAAGTAAAGCCCCCCGCAGTAGTTGATAAGCGCTCAGCGATGTAACGCGTCGCGTTTTTTGCTCCGGCCTAACCGGCCGGCACTCGCATATATATCTATTGTAACTCTCACATAATACCACCTCGTTTATAAGATATGTTATCTGGACAGACGTGTCTTACTTATCCCTCACTACCTTAGTCAACGAACCCGATCCTCAGATAACGCTTAATCTAAAATGATCTGGAACAATTCCCCAAATTTCTCAATATTGCTGCACTAATTGTGTCCCGAGTTACTAGTTTTACGAGTGACTATCAAGCTTTCGCGGTTTACTTGTAATATTTACATTATGAATGAAAATCCGATGTCGCGTTCGTTAAAAGATGATAGATATAGAACAAAACAGAATGATTATTGAAAATAATTATTCAATTATTATTCAATTATTTTGTTATCAGAATAAGTATTGAAAGACTCAATTTTGAATTAATTAAACTGGAAGAATGCTGAAGTTGCCAGTATTATGACATTACACGGGAACAACATTCAGCTAACAACGACTGAGGCATGAAGTGAATTCTGCCGTATTTAGACAGTCGAGGATGCGCTGCATTGCCTCATATTATCTATTGAGACTGTATTATCCTGAGAGGGACATGTGTTGAAATCCCTCTTCATTGCCTTAATAATATTGTCTAAGAGCTTATTAATATTGTCTAAGGCCCTTATGGTCTAAGGCCTTATTGCCTTATTAATATTGTCATTGCCTTATGAATTCTATGTACATTGATCTATTGTTAGGGCGAACGATGGTCGAAAGTAAAGTAACATGATTTGCAATGCTTTATTGTATTTATTATACATATATGAATTTCCAGCGACAAAATTTCAACCTGCTCGCTTTTCTGAGCCACAGAAACAGGCGAAAATTTAAAAATGTTCCGATAACGGATATTTTATCTATTGCAGTATGGAATATATAGTTTATAATATATTACTTTTCTTGCGGTATATTCTCAAGCTTCGAAAACACAATTAATCATATTATTCGGGTACATGCAATAGTCGAAGTGAATGTCGTGAAATTTTCTCCTATTTTCTTCACATGTTTCGGCAGGAGCGGCTCACTTTCTGTGTGCCTACAGCCAGCGAAGCGGACGCTAAACTTATACTCTCCACTTTTGATTCGGCAGGAGCGGCTCACTTTCTGTGTGCCTACAGCCAGCGAAGCGGACGCTAAACTTATACTCTCCACTTTTGATATGCTGCTGCTGTATAATCACGTACAGGGGGGTTTGAGGTCAAAGTTTTCACTCGAGCCGTTTTTCCCAGGAGCTCAACCGTTAGAATCTCATGAAAATTGGCACAGAGACGTACGCATATTTTTTCTACCAAACCTTCTTGTCGGATTTCCGAAATTCCCACTCCTTCCNCAGCATACAATAATGAGACCTTGTTAAAATCTGCAAGAAACACTAACCCTAATCCACTTGTCATACACCATTGAAACACAATGCGAAAATGCACGAACAAACTACCAGAAGCGCGATGAACGCCTAACTTCGCAGTAGAAGCATTGGTCTCCAGGTGTATTTCCCGGCCAGCGTGAACCACTTTACTACATGAAGTATCGGTTTTCACTCGTATAAAGCTTGGGCTCTTCACTTCCTCCAGTGCATTGGAAATTCAAGGTGTCTCATTGGAAGTTCTCGTAACCATAAGAGAGAAGGTAAGTCTGGTGCCCACGTCCACCTGGAATAAGCATTAAATACACGAAGTAGCATAATGTTCTTATCAACCTACGCTCTGCCACAAAATGAGAAAATTACGGGGTGTACATCAGCAATTATCCTATGCATTTCAACACGGTGGAAATTGTGCCAAACTATCTAATACAAATCCAAGCAAAGAGTATCGACATTTCGTACAGACATCATTTGCTCTCAAGGCTTACCCGCCACTCAAAGAGAAAAGGAAGGTCACTGCTACGGTAATCTAACAACCATAGGATCGATAAAATTACTAAATAATGTTCCAAAATTCACGCGACACGAGATTGCAGTCGCCCTCAACGCTGATCATTAAAAAGAGACAGGTCGAATGCAACGCATCCTACTCGTCGCCAGCGTGAACCTGGACAAACAAAAGACAGACGTATAGCGCAGCTACAGCGTCTATCAACCAATGTGAGTAAAATGGAAGGTTGGAGTTCCGATTAATGGTGAGACATTGGGCCTAATTGTGACAGATAAGTTCTTCAGATAATAATTTATTAGTGCTTCAGATAATGGCAGGAGAATGTGTCAGGTAATGGAAGGAGAGTGCGTCAGACAATGGCAGTAGAGTGTCAGTCCTGAAATCAACATTGATTCAACGTTTAAAAATTAGTAAACATTCAACGTACCAATATCGGCGTTATTTCAACGTTGACATAAGGTTGTTTTACGTCCCTTTCAGTGTTGGTCAAATTTCGACGTTGATATGACGTTTAATTTTGGTTGTTCAACATTTCAACATGAAATCAACCAATAATCAACGTTGTTTCAACGTCAGATGCCTGCTGGGTTTAGTCTTTCATCCAGCTGCGGAAGCTTAATTCAACGATAAACGATATTGTAGCCAAGCCCAAGCCTGCCGGGGATAAAAAAATATCCCCTGCAGTAATCAATACACGAGATACAAAAAGACCTGAGAGCAAGGATAAGTTTTCAGAAAAATTCCTTACAGATGCAAACTGTTAATAATTTTTCATGCATCTAGGGTCAGCTGATGAGGAACACTTTTACTCATGCAGATGCGGCAAAGTTCCATTGTTTGATTTGTTAGGTAGGCAAATTAATTTCATAACAATCTTAGTGTTCACGACAAATCGTGTAAATCAAACATCAAAAAGGTTTTTAACAATTATTAACGTCTTGTTATCTGCCTTTGCACTCAACTTTTAATATTTATCTTGCCAGCATGCCATGCATAAAAGCCTGTCAAGGCGAATGCATTATAGGCTTAAACATTTATAGCCTTAAGAATTGTTTACATTGATTGCTCACCACCGAAGTAGAGCAGAAAGACGCCATAGAAGTCCTTCAACGCGAGCGGTCGAAGCGACTCCACCTCGTTGGTGGCGGACAAGCACCTCATTGCGTTTCTCATTCCCTTCTTCTCGAGCATATTCAGGATCCCGCTCTCCCTCAGGCGCTTCACCCTGCGCAGCAAATCAATGCTCTCAGAATAAACGAATGCACACTGTTAGAAAAACGACCGTTAACGGTATTACCGGCATTTCAGTGGCCAGTAGGCACGTGAAAAGAAACACCGTTTCACATTTTTTTCCAATTTAACACCAGAAATCCGTAAAACATCTGATAAAAACGGCGAAACAGTTTATTTTCAAGGGGCGACCGGCCACTAGGATACCGGTGGGACCGTTTTTTCTAACAGCTAGTGCACGCAAAAATCTGCTCTCGTTCAGCAGCACCCTACGTAATAAGTCATTGTTAGAAAATGTAAATAAACACATTCAATTTTACGCTATCCCCAAGCAACAATTTCCGTGATGGTTAACAAATGCTCCAACAATGCAGCTTCCCTTAGAGCAGTGGTTATCAAAGTGGGCGATATCGCCCATCTGTGGGCGGTGAAAAAATCTAGGGGGGGAGGAAAAAGTGGCAGGTGGGGGGCGGCAGTCCACGAAGTCGAAGTCAGAAGTTCGTACGTTTGTTTGACGATTTGTACACAACACGTGTAGAACATGACTCCGAATCAAATAAATTTTCACGAGCTAAAAATCACCGTTTGGTAGATAAAAATTTATATTCAAAATTTCGTTCGAATCTGTTCAGGAGTTGGGAAGAAATTCTTTGATCACTGCGAATTTCGGCCCGTATCACCATATAACTTCCGAATGAAGGTGAAATTTAAAATTTTTTCACGAGCTAAGGATCACCGTTAGGACCTAATGAATACTTGATCCAAGTTTTATCGAGCTGCGTTCATTTATTTGGGAGATATTCCTTGGTCACTGAATTTGGAGATTGGCCGTGAGACCGGCTGCTAGTCCAACCACGAGTCCGGCCATAAATTTGTCCGAGCCGTCTTAAATTTCTAGTGCTGAAACAGTTAAAACTGAAAAAAAAAATTTATTGGTTTACTAAATGTGGCTCTATTTGTGAAATACACATTTGTGTTTGCTTTAACCTTTCTCTTTTAAAATTGTAGCATACTAAATATCAAGAAAGAAGCTTTTGTTTTTATATTTGTCTGTCGGAGTGGGGGGGCGCTAGAGATTCACTGGGGAGCCAAAGGGGACGCCAGGCAGAGAAAGTTTGGGAACCACTGCCTTAAAGCGTGCACATGAGACGACTTGTGGCAGCCAGTATAAGTAAGTGGCTGCTTATAATTTGCAAGGTAACAAAACTTGATGGCTAGGCGAGCGTTACTTAGAAAAATATAACTCATTACGCAGTGAGTGACAGAGAGCGCATTTTCTCGTCTACGAAAACTTGAAGTCACGGACGGACGGACAGACAGACAGACGGACATGGCGAGCACAATAGTGCATTTTTTCCATAAATGAGAAAATGCGCTAAAAATTCTTCTAGGCACGAGTGCATTGTACTCATTTTGACATGTTCAATGTTCATAATATCTTAGTATCACCATAATTATATTTTCCTCAGTTGCATTTATGCCGAGGTGGCTCAAAATTAAAGTGAAAATATTTACTGTTTGTTGAACGGAGCCGTGTACGGAGAATTTTTGCGAAAGCACACGGTGATCCAGGAAGAGAGGAAGTTGTCTTTGATGATTAAAGGGCACGTACGGGTCTGTTGGTAGGAGGATAATGTTTAATGTGTGTAACATTTACAGGTTGAATTTTTCTAGAATAATCCCCTTTAAGAGTTAGGTCGCACATTTTATTTCAGGACAGTATTACGAAAAAACCTGAGTGCACTTTTGGCGATATTAGGACGAACCTCCATAATCAAGTTTGTTAACAGTTAATTTCTGTTGAAGTTAAACAGAAAAGCATTGTGCGGGAGCACTTTCACCTTTGCAAAAACGGTGTCGATCATCCCGTACATATTGGATTTGATGCCAACGAAAGCGTCCTGTCCAGATGCAATGTTTTTGATTTGGCGGTAATAATCCTGCTCCCATAAATCGACGTTTCGATACAGCTTGCCGAATGTAGAATTAGGTTCTGCCTCCTGAAGCCAAAAATTTGTGACTTTAGGTTTCAATTCAAATAATAAATATCTTCGGACAATAATATTCGAATTTATGAGAGATTTTCGTTACTTATATAGTATTTAGTCTTGTGGAAACTATTTCAACGATAAGATAATTAAATTGGATCGTATTTATTTTAACAACTCTTTAATTTCGCATGCTCTAAAATAAGACAACTTGTAACACGAGAACATTCGTGACGCTTACCCCTGACAAAGTAACCAAAAAGGCCACGAAGTAACTTTTATTGCAGCCGTCAGGAATTCATACTTCAACTCTGTACCATGGAGCTTCCAAGAATATTGTATATTAAGCCTATTTCGTTGTTAAGACTGTTCGATTAAACTACACATACATCCAGTTATAAATCAAATATTCTCCCTACGTCTAAAGTACGACCGTTAACCATCATTAATATTTTTCATCGGCAGTCATCGAGTCGTTGAGTTCTGCGCGTATTATCATCGGCCCGCAATAGCCAGCCTATGTTCATATGACATGGCTTATTTTTACAGGTATTTCAGCCTTGGTTGATGATCAGTATACTGATCATCAACCAAGGCTGAAATACCTGTAAAAAAAAGCCATGTCCGTCCAACCGCAAGAAAATCTACCGTGTAGACTGTACAGCAAGACATGCGAAGAGTCGCATCCTCTGATGTTGGAGGGTCAATTGTTGGCAGTTACACTGCAAGCCTTCTACTCAATGTTATTATGTGGAAGTTATAGAAAAGACTAAACTTCTGTAATTTGTGTGAGTGATTAATTCATTTTAAAAATTTAGGAACTACGTATCCAGGACACTAGTTTAAAACGAGGACATTAACAATGAATTAAGATTTGCAGAAGCAGAATTGAGGCTGCACAGGGCTCACTCAACTTCAACTCTGCTCGGTACGGCTTAGTTTCACAAGTCATATGTATTTGTTGGGTTTTTGTGTCTGTAAATTTTCATACTTAATTGCATATAAGCTATCATGCCAATTCACGTACGCTTAGCCGAGTTGTATCAATATTTTTTGAAGATCTTATTACGCCCATAATGCACACGTTCCTCCGCAACCTAAATTTTTTATTGGGTAGCAACACCGCAATGCCCCCAAGAAGAACGGGGCCAATGGAACTGGGCAGCGGGTTCTCGAGGCGTTCGTAATTCATTAGTCTTGTTTTGAAGCCAACATATATGAAACAAACCTGGATTGTAGCTTTAATGTAAGACCCGGGAACGATCATGTACGGCATGGGCCTCCTGGTGACGAGCTCTTCGAGGTTGTTGAAGGGCTCGACAACCCTCGGCAGGACGAGCATGGACGTGAGGAAGGTCTTGTAGAAAGTGCTCAGTAGGAAGCCCCACAGCATCGTCGTCATTAGCAACAGTCGCGTCACGGGCAAGCGTTTGTCGCGTTCCAGGGCTGTAGCAATAGGTTACATATTCAGTTCACTTTCAGATACAAGATATTTTCGAATCATGATTTGTCAATCAGCTCGAGTCACACCATGCAGTTACGTTTACAGATACATGGTCATACGATGCTTATTTGAATGAATCATTGGGTCAACATTATTGACTCAATTAAGGTAAAAAAAATTGCTTTATCGCACGAAGCAGACGCTCATCGGATTTCGCTTACGTCTCATCGGATTTCGCTTACGTTGGTTAAGCAGAATTTTAAGCACTGAGAGAACGGAGATTCGGAAGTCAGGTGACGACACGCGGTGTTGGCCGCGTCTACTGAAAAAGTAACACATATCAAAATATCATATCATAAAATATTGTTAGAAAAATATATAATTCCTATAGATAATGTAATATCTCAATCGAACGCGTTACTTTTTCCATTGCAATCGACAATCGTTAGAACAGGTACAATATGAGAAATTACATTGTAAATTTTGAATTCGTCCCTTGAACAAAAT